TCAAATATGTGTTTGAAGAAGGACAGTTACATTTGACCTACTGATCTCTATATCTGTTTTAATTACAAAAATATTTTCCCAAATCTGTGGAAAAAAATCCAGTTTGGAAAATTTAATTTTAGACAATTTCAAAATTTCATTTAAAAATGAAAATTTCATTTCAATGTGTTAAATTTTATTTTCATGTTCATTATATTGTTTGCTTTTATTGTTTTACATTGTGTTGGCATGTCAAACATTAGTGAACAGAACATGTAAAAATAATAAAATATAAAGATGTAAAAAAAATCTAACAATTCCCCAAATTTTGAAACACTCCTAAATGAAAAAAGCAATTCCAAATCACTCTTTTTTTTGTCATTTCAAAAACCTTTTTCTATGAAAATATAATTGAAATACATATGATTTCACAAAAATGTTTTTGACCAAATGACAGTTTCTCACAGACAGATCTGGTGACAGATTATATTGGTCCCTGGGCATTGTGTGGGGTTTGGGGGTGGGAGGAGGCTTGTTATGGGTGCCCAGAAGAGGTGGGGTTTGAGCAGAAGGGGCAGGTCTAAGGGAAGCTAGCCTTCAGTGCTGCCCAGACTCTGCAGCACTTCGCTCAGTCAGCTCTCAGTGCCACCTGAACCATGCCATGTGGGGATATGATAGCGATTTAAAGGGATGGGGCTCCAGTTGCAGCAGTCCAGACAAATCCTAAGGCGACTGTCCTCTTTACCTCCTCCTCTCCTCCCTCCCTGGGTCAGTGGCCCTGCTGACAAAAAACTGTTAACAAACATTTTCTGACCTGTTCTTGTCAGGAGGCTACTGCCAAAAAAATAGTAAAAATATCAAAACAGATAAGGGATCAGTTCACAAATTATACACTGTTCACTTATTGTAGGAATTGCACAAGAGTTAGGATATATCTTTCACCTGAACACACAAGTATCTATAAAATGTAATAATTATTCTAGTGTTATATATACTTTGTATTTTTTTGCTCCAGCAAAACTTTACATTTCTAAATTATTTGTATAGATTTTTTTAAAAAAAATTGGTCTCATTAATATCTTAACAACAAGTCAATGATGTATTTTGGGGACTTTATCTAAAGGTCACAAAGAACTATTGCAGTCTTTGAATCAGGTATTAAATAGAACAAACTACATTATAAGAACTTAAAAAATAACCTTTTAGCCATGTCACGCATACACAATTACAGTAATTATTGTAATTACAAAAAGAAAAAGTTACATACTTTCCTTTTTGTTTTATTTTCATTACAATAAAAGACAAATGACCTCAGTGCCCATAGTTCAATATGCAATCAAACTGTTTCCTGTCAAGAAACAAATTACACATATGTGTATATATAACTAGAGTTTAAAATACTATGTATAATATTCTTATTAATGATCTATCCATTTCAGAAAATCACAATATTCCCTCTTCCCTAAATGTGACCTAAGTATCCATTTACATTTTAGACGGGATCCTAATTTTAGATTCAGTTGAAAGGAACAAATATATATTATCAAAGACTTTATCAACAGTACTTTTTAAAAAATTGAAGTTTATTTACAAGTAGATAAATATACAAGATAAAGGGGAAAATTAAGAGTATTCTTTTTATTAGAGTATCAATTTTCTAAAATTGATGATAATGGGGAAGTTCCATAGGAATGCAAAACATTACTTAAAACCTGAAAGACAAGGCTGAAATTGGACTCTTGCATGACCCTGCATTTCAGGAACTCTCTAGTGTTTGCTGAATTTTAGAGCATACAATCCAACCTTCTGAGTTCTAGCTTTATATTCCAATTGTTTTAAGTTAAAATTTTGTATAATTTCATGTCATAGTTGGTTTTCAAAACATCAGGATACTAAGTTTCTCAGTACCAAAATAAGTTCTTTGTAACCTACATTTGCCACCAATTCTTCCCAGACAAACAAAGATGATTGACAAAACTAATTGGACATGCTTACTTTTGCCTAAGCTCATCATTGGATAATTTTTCCTAATTTCCACATTTTCCAGTTGTTGTTAATCCTTCCTTGGGTTCTGATCCAGCAATGCAGCTATAGATAACTTTAAGCATGTGAGTATGGATACCCTATTGAATTAAGTGGAACCACTCAACTTTAAAGTCAGACATGATAAGATGTGTTGAAGGATTAGAGTTTTGTTATGTCTGAATGTACAGTTCAATCAGAGCCACTAAATTTGATGAGACCTTTGATACTGACATCAGTGGGAATAGGATTGAGTCATTAGAATGCAGACCTTTCAAGGCAAGGATTATCTATATTTTTGTTTCTTTGCAGCAAACAGCAAACTCATTGGACTTATTGAAATATTAATAAGTTATCCCCGACATTTCATTTTTAGCACAAGAGTTCACCTCTCTATTTAAAATATTTGAGGTGACATACAAAAAGGGTATGTCTACAGTACAAAGTTAATTCGAACTAACAGACGTTAGTTCGAATTAACTTTCATAGGCACTACACTAGCGCTCCGCTAGTTCGAACTTAATTCGAATTAGCGGAGCGCTTAGTTCGAACTAGGTAAACCTCATTGTACGAGGACTAAGCCTAGTTCAAACTTACTAGTTCGAATTAAGAGCTGTGTGGCCCTTAATTCGAACTAGTGGGAGGCTAGCCCTCCCCAGCTTTCCCTGGTGGCCGAGTGCTGTGATGTGCCCAGTGTGGGTACTCCGGGCAATCCAAGCCAGGACTGCTTTGCAAGCGGGGCACCCCTGAGAACTGTCTGTCCGGGGTGGGTGTCGGGTCCTTTTAAGCACAGCCCTCAGCTAGCCTGAGACAGCAGCTCCACACTCTAAGTCCTCATCTGATGCCCTGCCGGCACTGCTTCCGGCCATTCTTAACCCCGGTTCAAGGTCCACTCTGTGTGGACATGCTAGTTTGAATGATCAAAACGCTAATTCGAACTAGTTTTTTAGTCTGGATGTGTTAGTTCAAATTAGCTTAGTTCGAATTAGCTAATTCGAACTAAGTTAGTTCGAATTAGCGCTGTAGTGTAGACATACCTAAAGATCTTTAAACACAATACAAATATATATAAATTTAAAATATAGATAAAGGAGAGACTAGTCTAAATCTATGTAAATAAAGTGGTGACTAATTCCTGGGGTTTTTTCATCATTCAAACTTTAAAAATACTTTTCTTATATTAGCGTAAAATTTTCAGACTTGAGTATCTATATCTGGGTCCTGGAATCCATATTTTGGCATGTAAGCAGGAGGCTCAAGTTTGAGGCACTGCACCACTGACTTACGTGACAGTTCTGCATATTTGTCTTCAATGGTAAATGCAGTTAGTCAGGCACTTAAACGTGTATTTTCTTCAGTGCCTTACTTTAGGCATTCAGGTTTGAAAATGGCAGCGTTTCTCCTTTTCTTAATCTTACATGCAAAATCAGTCTTGGGTGTTGTGAGCTCCTCCACCACAAGCAAATTCTTATTTTAGTGTTTCAACTGCACACATTATATATAATCTATTAAGACATCCATAAAGAAAAGATTTTAGTATCACACCTTTGCTCTACATTACAGAATTTTCAGGAAAGTTTGCTGTTGTGTGTAACTGAGTTTAAACTTTGTCACTTACCTTTCTCATTTTTCTTCTTTTGCAGTAAACATTTAGGCTATGTCTAGACTTCAAGCCTCTTTCGAAAGAGGCTCTTTCGAAAGAGAGTGTCTAGACTGCACGTTGAACTTTCGAAAAAGCGGCTTGCTTTTTCGAAAGAAAGCATCCAGTGAGTCTGGATGCTCTCTTTCGAAGAAGCCCTATTTACATTGAAGAACGCCTTCTTTCGAAAGAGGAACTTTCGAAAGAAGGCGTTCTTCCACGTGAAATGAGGTTTACCGCCATCGAAAGAAAAGCCGCGTTCTTTCAATTTAATTTCGAAAGAACGCGGCTTGAGTCTGGACGCAGGGGAAGTTTTTTCAGAAAAAGACTACTTTTCCCGAAAAAAACCCTGAGTCTGGACACAGCCTTAGATGTAGCAGATTTCCCATAGGTGGTGTCAGTCTAGTGAACAAAATACCTCATCAGAATGAACCACCATTGTAAATGACACTAACTGACACTCATCAATAATATGAGCAGAGAAACTAGAGGTGAAAGGGGGCACCGAACTGCTCATCCTAGAAAGGATATGTGAAGAAACAGATTAATAGTCAGATCTTTAACCCTTTCCATAGAAGAGGTGTCTGCAACAGACTGAGGACATGTCTACATAGCAGGGCTAAACTCAAAATAAGATACACAACTTGAGCTATGCTATTTGCATAGCTTAAGTAGAAATAGCTTATTTAGACTTTTAGCACTGTCTAAACAGCAGTCTCTTTCCCCTGACTTCCCTTACCCCTCTGTAAACATACAATGAGGTTTACAGAAGTTGGAGTAAGAAGCCTGTTATTTTGAATGTATTTTGTAATATTTGCCTTGCTGTGTAGACATGAACTACATTATTTTGAAATAACTGATGTTAATAACTGCGTAAACATGTCTAGACTGATATAGAGAACAATCAAGTTAGTGGTTAAGGTAGTATGCAGTGGGTCTGCAGCATCTTGGGTCCCTAGGTTGGGGACTTAGGATCTTCCTTCTTCTCATGACTGGATCAATAGAGGCTATTGCTACCTTAATATTTACACAGCTGTCATGGAAGGGGAAAAGGAGGATTGAGACCACTGGGATAAACTGTTACTGACAAATGAGAGAGATGGTTGTTTGGCCCTCAGATATCTGCCATCTTGGCTGCTACCTCCATTTAAGTTTTCCCAGTATTGTTAATCCCTATCAATCAAAATCATGATTTCTTCTTTTTTGTTCATGCCATCAGACTATCAGCTATTCATATAATTCCAAGTGCTCAAGCTTTAGGGAGATGATCAAGTACCATGAGATTTGAGATTCGGGATCATGTGAATCAGCAAAAGTGCTTTTCACTGTGGAAGCTAATCAGTTGCTTTTCTATCTCCAGGATACTCTCTCTCTTTTTCCTGAAGATCACCCTTTTTTGATGATGAATCTCTGCAGTGGTTTTACGTTAGCTGTTTGTTATAATTTTAAAAGCTTGTGTTCTGTTCCTATTAGCTTTAATTTCCTAGACTATGGATTCTTGCCCCTCCCTTTACACAATTTATGCACAGTAACCCATACTATGCCCATTATCTGTTATTTAAAGGACTTTTAATTGCTCTTGTTTTGATATTAGTTTACATTTAATTGTGATTATTACATACACTTCCATTGTGCTATCTTATGCTTGGAACTTTGACCCACTATGAAAAAGAAAAAGAAAAAAAAAACAACAAAAAAGCCAATCAAATGCTAACACTACTTTCAGAATCTGTCAATTTTGACTATTTTGGCTAAACGGGAAATATATTTTAAAGGGCTAATACATATAACTCTCTACAATAAACATGACTGAGGACAAGGGGTTTATCTAATGTCAAAGATCAAGAAAGTTAGGAAGTATAAGCCCACACAAGTTAATAGGTTAATACAGACATGATTGTATGAAGTTGTATGGCTTGGGTTCTGCAAGTGATCTAATGTTTCCTTCTGGACTTAATTTAAAAAAAGGGTAGATTTCCCTAGCTGAGACTTACAAAAGAAAATAAAACAAAAGCATAAAAGCAAAAAAAAAATCAGTTTGTAATTTTTTAAAAATGTATTTAGCTGTGAACTTAAGGACAAAGTAGGCAAGAGCATTATCTGCCAGGCAGGTCCTCCAATTTACCCATAGAACCATGAAGACCTCCCCACACACATGCATTAATTTGGATTGACTGCTTTGGAGACTAAAGCCAAGATCTTCACAGCTATTTAGAGGCATAACTCCCATTGGTATAAACAATGTTAGGTGCCCCATATACTACTGGTAATCTGAGTCTGAAAGCCACCCTATCTATATATGCAGGCGTAGTTCAGAGAGCAACACAGCCAATACATAGTTCCTAGCTGCAGATCCTCCAAGGTATTGGGAAACTTAACTCCAAGTCAGTGGTAGTTAGGCTCCAAAATACCTTTGAGGATCTGAGCATTAAACAATTAGTTATGGAACTGGAACTAGCCTCTTAGTTCTATGTCCAAGATACAGCTAATTTTTTAATGTGACAACAAGTAAACTAAAAGTGAATTTCCATATATATTCTAGAAAGAGTGCAAACAAAAATATTCTCTAAGGGTATGTCTACACTAGCCCCCTAATTCAATCTAGGGAGGCAAATGAGGGTGACCAAAATTTAAATATCCCACTCTTCATTAACATGTTCCCGGCTGGTTGCTATTTTAGAAGTTGACTAGCCCGAAATAACTGCCTGCATCTACACGTGGCAGTGAAACAGAATTCTGAATTAAAGCCCTAAATTGAATTAGCTGGTAAACCTCACTGCAAGAGGAATACCAGCTAATTCTCTTTACCAACTAATTCGATTTAGGGCTTTAATTCGGAATCCCGTTTCATGTAGATGCGGGCAGTTACTTCGGGCTAGCCAATTTCTAAAATGGCGACCGGCAGGGAACATGCTAATGAAGCACGGGATATTTAAATCCCGTACTTCATTTGCAATTTTGGTCACCCTCATTAGCCTACCTAGATCGAACTACGGGGCTAGTGTAGACATACCCTTAGATTACTATCTAGAGTCAAACATTTCTATATTTCTAGCAAAGTGTGAAAACTGGATCTCCCTCTAAGTAAAATCCAGGTGTGGTGGGTTGAGAGAGAATTAACTGGAGTTAGAGAGCAGTTAGTATATCATATGATAGAGCACTCTTGGTTTGAGATTAGTCCCTGTCGAGGAGACGCTGGGTTGGTGAATGAAGGATGAGTGTTTCTGACCAAGAGGAAGGACTTCAGGGTAAAGCTAATGCTTCTGAGATGGTAACTCTAGCATAGGGCTAGGAGAATCACTGAGAAAAGAAACCTATGATGTAAGCTCCTCTTGAGAGCCTTGATAAGAGTGTCATGCACCAGAAAGGCAACCCTGGAATAGGCAGGCAAGAAGCAAGCCCCCATAGGAGAAAACTCTGGGAGTAATTGTTCTGTACAAGAGCAGAAGAGAACTCTGAAAAGTATGGGAAAGGTTGAAAAGCTTGCAGAGGAAAGCAACTTAGAAACAATAGTTGGAAGAGGGCCTAGAGATTCACAGAAGTAGGAAATGGTGTGGGGAGGCCACAAGGAGAATCCAGGAGCAGATTTTAGGAGTTTTTATAGGTCCCTGGGTTCAAATTCAGACTAAAGGAGGAGGGCTAGAGGTTCCCTACTGAGCACTAAGGAAGGGTATCTGAAAGCCCCTCATACAGTGGACTATTGTGGCTATTGAGCCAAAAACTGGGCTGAAGACCTGGCATTAGCCTGTTACTCTGGAAGGGAGGATGGAGTGGAAGAAATATAAGTGTTCTTACCAAAGGGCTAAGATGAAGCTGACCAGGGCAGAACTAGAACAGCTGTCCGTGAGAAGGCTCCTGTCAGGGGGTCCGCACCCCGTGCACCTCAGTGCCCCCTGACTGTCTTCATATAGCCCATCTCAGGGCAGAATACAGTCTGTATGGGTTGCTCATCATAGGCATCTGGGCTTATCTCCGTGGCCCTGCTTACCTAAGTCAGGCTACCACCTGTCTCCACGCCCGGGCCTTTCCTTCGGCCCCTCATCGGGGTAGCCTTAGCCGGCCTTCTCCCAGCTCTAACTGGCTAGTCCCAGCAGGTCTCCCTCCTGGGAGCTCCTGCTTCCTCCACAGCCAGCCCCTCACTGGCCTCTCTCCTCTTGAGCAACCTGGGCTTCTCTATATATACACACAAGCCAGCTGTGCTCCTGCTCGCCCTAATGGGTTCAGCTGGCTTCTCTCAGCCATGCATGCATTCCTGGATCTTTGCCAGCTGGGCTCTCCCCTGCCCTAATAGGTTCAGCTGGCTTCTACCAGCCATTCGTGCAGCTCTGGATCTTTGCCAGCTGGGCCCTCTCTAGCCCTAATTAGCTCCCGCTGGCCTTCTCTCTGCTAGCCCCGGCTCAGGGCCGGAGTCCGAGTATTAAAGGGCCAGTGCAGGGCAGGCGCCCTGTCACAGCTCCACAGGAGAAGTGTCAGCATACCACCTGGTGAGTCATTGTTTGGTGCTAAGTAACTATTGTCAATTTTTTGTCTAGTGATACTAATAATTTTATTGCTCCAAGACAGTGTGCAAAGTACCTTCTATTGTGTAAAACACTGGATATTTCTGAAGCACATGTGACATCCCCAAAGCTTTGGAAAATGAAGTTTAATGTTCAAAGAATTAAGTTTAAAGAATTCTCATCTATAAAACTTTCTTTTAAATATGTATTCCTAGCAAGATATCTGTTGTATTGATTTGAATAGCAAGATGTCTATTGTTCACTTCTGGTATGAGCAGGTTCAACTCCATTTTAATCAGCAGGGTTGTATTGGCTTGAATGTACTGTGAATTTGGTCCAAATGGCATATTAAATAAATAATTCTGGAATGTTTTAATGACTGCCTCATCAAGTTTTTTGATTGGTTTTATTCATAATTGCCTAAAATTATTGGAGAAAACAAATAGCTATTAATGCACTTGGTGCACTCTCTGAACTTTGTTAGCCTGTGAATCCCTATCTACTGCTTGGAGTGATATCCAAAAGGAGGAAGAAGTAGAAGAATGATGTAGAAACCTAACTTCCAAGAACAGATGAAGTAGATTATATTGTTCCTTTTTTCTCTTTGTTCTTTTCCCCCTTTTTAGACATCTCTGTACTTGAACTTTTATTGTTGTAGCTCTGGTAAATGGTTGGTGTATACAGGAGGACTTACTCTAATTAAAATGTGAAGACTGAAAATAAAAACAATTTGTTTTTGCCTAGCAGAAAGAATTAAGGTCTTAACCTCAAAATAAACTTTCGTCATACTCAGAAAGTCATAATACACTCCAGCAATTCATCTACACACAATACAGCCTGTTTGCATGATACAATGAGAGTATAGACATCTTCATGTTGCCCCCCCAGGGCACTGATACAAGTAAGTTCTCTATTTCCATTGTTCCACTCAACAGCTTTGTGCCTTAGAGCGCCTCTCTGCAGGAGAGTCTTTGAAGATTTAGACCCTGATTTAACCTGCATTGAACTCACTAAGCATAGTTTTAGGGGAGCAGTTAAGTCTGAAGAGATCGGTGTTAATGTCCGTTATTTCCACCTGTTTGCCTGGTAGAATGACTGTCATTTGATTCTCTAAACTAGTGTTTCCCAATTTTATTTGGCCACAGAACCCTTTTAAACTTGCAAGAATTTTGCTGAACCCCTAATAACAGACTTATATATTGAGCTTAAAAAGTAGACCACAAATCAGTAAGGATAATAATAAACATATGCTAAACAAGGTCATGAGATTAACATTTAGTTTAATTGCACATAGATGAAACTATCATAGTCAATTTATATTTGTCATGGTTAAATTTTTAAATACTTTACTTCAGTATAGTCCTGTGATTTCTTGTATTTGTAAGAGCACTGCCTGTGCACTCCCATACAAGCAACTGAATTGACAGCTGAATATTTGACTTTGTCCAACACGGTGCTAGTATGTTCGTTCTCAATCACCCATGTGACCCACACTCTCTGAGAGTGAGTACAGGGATTTACGGTGGTTTATAACAGGTAATTGCACCACTAACTGAATGCGCACACAGCACTGAGTAGTGACATCATCGTCCCCAGTCTCTGGCTAAGCTGGCATTTCACAGGGACAGTTATCATGGCACACAAATGAAAATTGTTTTCAATAAAATTCATAAATGATTAAATATTAACTATTTTTAAAAATCATAAGATGTTATTGTAATGGAATTTTCTTGTGGAACCCTTATTTTCACTTTCCAGAACCTCATGGTTCTGCAGAACACCATTTGGAAAACATTGCTCTAAACCAGTGGTTCCCGACGCAGTGCCCGTGGATGCCATGGTATTTACCATGGTGCCCGCCAGGGCATTTATGTGCACCCGCGTAGTGACCAGGGCCAGCCCGAGCCATTCTTGCGCCCCAGGCGTGCGGCGCATGCGCGGCCCCACCCCCGGGTGCCCGGCAGCCCCAAAAGCTTGGGCACCACTGCTCTAAATCCTGTTCCACTGCCAACTATGTGACCTTCAGATGGAGAAGCTTACACAAGCATAGATGGACATTTTGGAGGGGTGGGGGAAGAGCCCATGTCTCTCTTTTGGGGATCCTTTAATCATCTATTGACAACAGAAATAAGCATTAACTGTTTACAACAAATGTGGTATTAAATGAGTATGGTCTCATCTCCACGTAAGCTTTGCTGCATAAACTGCTATAGTCAAAGTAGCAAAAAATCTCAATGCATGCACAATTATACCAGATCTGGGGCACTAGGAGAGATGCCATTTATCTATCGAGGCCAAGGCTTTAGCTAGGTTTAGCAGTACAGTTTGAACTATTTTGTGTGGACTAGGACATAGGGAGCTTTCCACCTTACATATCTGCTGAGGATTTTGACATGTGAGTCCCACCAACATTTCACAGACCCAGTGTTGGTGTTAAGGAACTGTAAATGAATACTGGGTGCACACTGTAATAGGTGGGAAGAGGGGCCAACTGAGAGGGAAATTTTCTTAAGTAACTTCTGAGGGGCACTTTTCTGCTCAGACAATCAGCCAGGAGCAGCGTAAAAAGCATATTGGCTTACACTCATAAATAGAGTATTTATATTCTCTTCCCCCTATGTGGAGTGTTTTTCAGCAATGAGAAGAATAAAAATCCCACTCCCCCCAGACTTTGGGACTAGAACAGAATGCAGTTTTGGTGAGTCTTGTTGTGGATATCTTGTTAGTCCCTTTTTGCAGGCTGGGAAGTTTGTTTTCCCCCTCACTGCCAGAGCAGAGTGTGGCTGAGTAGGCATATTTGTTTACTTTGTCTTATGAACCAATGACCTGGTGGTGGGGGTGTAGGTTCTTAAAATGTACAGTATTTCCATATGGCAGGAGCCCAGTGCAGGTACTTACTCAAGAGTAGGTCCAGCTCCTTGATAAGCCATATTTGGAAGTGGATTATCAGAAAGTGTTTCCTAGAGGAATAGGATTGGAGCTCCTGAAGTCTGCCACAGCAAAGAGACAATGCCCTTTTCATCATCCACTTAATTCTCTCCTTCATCCATAGGGGAGGTTGGTGGAGTACCAACCAAGGTACTAGGAAAAGGTAATTAGGTGGAAG